AAAAATCTGTTGGGGAAGCTATGGGAAACAAAGTGTAAAGAGTGAAAGACCAGAAGATAATATTTACTATGTAGATAACAAAAAAAATTATACATTAAAACATAAATGGAATATTTAATAAATTATGAATAGACAATAAACACATTTATAAACACCTCCAATTTACAGATTTAAGAAGACAATCCCAAGCAAGATAAATACATGTTAAGAGCAAAACAGCAAAAAGCTAAGGACCAACACAACAACAAAAGAACCCCAAAAGCAGTCAGAGCAAAAGGAACTGACAGACCAATAGGTGACTTTTCAATAGCAATAATGAATGACAAAAGATGGAGGAATAAGAGCTTCAGCATGCGAAAAGAAAACAATCGCCAACTTTTGTATTCAGCAAAAACATCATTCAAGAATGGCTGTGAAATAAAGACATTTTCAGGTGAACAAAAACTGACTGTTTATCATCAACAGATCGTCAATAAAAGCCATTCCAGGCCAGGCACAATGGCTCAAGCCTGTAATCCCAGCACTTTGGAAGGCCAAGGTGGGCAGATCACGAGGTCAGGAGATGGCGCCACCCTGGCTAACACGGTGAAGCCTCATCTCTACTAAAAAAGGCAAAAAATTAGCCGGGTGTAGTGGCACGCGCCTGTAATCCCAGCTACTTGGGAGGCTGAGGCAGGAGAATCACCTGAACTTGGGAGGCAGAGATTGCAGTGAGCCCTGATCATGCCACTGCCCTCCAGCCTGGATGACAAAACAAGACTCTGTCTCAAAAAAAGCCATTCCACCAAAGGTTGTATTTTTTCTTTTTTCTTTTTTTTAAAAGAGACAGGGTCTCACTATGTTGCCCAGGCTGGAGTGCAGCGGCATGATCACGGCTCACTGCAATCTCGACTTCTTGTGCTCAAGTGATTCTCCCGCCTCAGCCTCCCAAGTAGCTGGTGCCACAGGTGTGTACTACCACACTCAGCTAATTTTTTTTTTCAAAGATGGGGTTTCACTTTGTTGCCCAGGCTGGTCTCAAACCTGGCTCAAGCAGTCCTCCCAGTTCGACCTCCCAAAATGCTAGGATCACATGAGCCTAGGATCACCATGCGCAAACAATTTTCTGAAATTATATGATGAAATGTGTCATGTGAAAGAGCTGCATAATTCAGTGAACCATTATTTTCCAAATGACCCATGTGTAGGTAAAAGAGCCCTTGAAAGTGCAAGATAGGCCAATGGATTTTAATGTTAGAGCATGAGAAGTTCATTCATATTGTTTCAAATTCTACACTGCAGCTAACATTCAAGAAACTGTTAGGGGCTGAATGCTATAGTCCCAGTGCTTTGGGAGGCCGAGGCAGGGGAACTGTTAAAGGCCAGGAGTTCAAGACTAGATTGGGCAACATAGTAAGACTTTGTCTCTACAAAAAACAATTAAAAATTAGCGAGGCCTGGTGGTGTGTGCCTGTAGTTCTAGCCACTCAGGAGGCTGAGGCAGGACTGCTTGAGCCCAGGAGTTGGAGGCTGTAGTGAGCTATGATAGTACCACTACACTCTAGCCTGGGCAGCAGAGCAAGACACTGTCCTAAAAAACCAAAAAGAAACAAAAACACAAAACTGATAGGTTTCGATGCATATCAAAAAGAACATAATCATCTGAAAAGATTATTAAAATATTCCTCTTTTTCAACTCAGCTGAATGAGACTGGATTTTCTTCTGTACTTCAACCAAACCAATACGTGGCAAGTCAGGCGTGCTGGCTCACGCCAGTAACCCCAGCACTCTGGAAGGCCGAGGTGGGAGGATCACGAGGTCAGGAGATTGAGACCATCCTGGACAACACAGTGAAACCCCATCACTACTAAAAATACAAAATTAGCCGGGCGTGGTGGCACATGCCTGTAATCCCAGCTACTTGGGAGGCTGAGGCAGGACAATCACTTGAACCTGGGAGGCAGAAGTTTCAGTGAGCAGAGATCGTGCCATTGCACTACAGCCTGGGCAAGGAGAGTGAAACAATGCCTAAAAAAACAAAAACAAAAAACAAAGAAACACATGGCAACACAATGAATACAAAAGCAGGTAAGACTCTAGTCATTAAAGGAAACATTCAGCATATTTGCAAAACTGTACAAAAAATCCCACTCTTGTCACTAACTTTGGGGGAATAAAATATGTTAAGATGTAATGGGTTATTTTTAAAGATATCAATAAATATACATATATTTCAGATTGGTCAGTTTTAATATCTAATATGGTAATTATCAATTGATATAATCCAATAAAAGATCTTTGGGATCTTCAAGTTTTTTTTTGGTTTTTTTTTTTTTTGGGACGGGGTCTGACTCTGTTACCCAGGCTGCAGTAGAATGGCGCGACCTTGGCTCACTGCAAGCTCTGCCTCCCAGGTTCAAGTGATTCTCTTGTCCCAGCCTCTGGAGTAGCTGGGACTACTGGCACCTGCCACCATGCCCGGCTAATTTTTGTATTTTTAGTAGAGACAGGTTTGCCTCGGCCTCCCAAAGTGCTAGGATTACAGGTGTGAGCCACCGTGCCTGGCCACCTCAATGGTTCTTAAAAGCATAAAGGAGTCCTGGGAATCAAGTTTCTAAACTGCTAAACCATAAGGCACGTGCTTTAACATGAATGAATCTCAGAAACCCAATGTTTAATAAAAGTAATTCATGGAATACAGAATACGACTTTATTTAAATAAAGTTCAAGAACAGGTAAGAGTAAACAATGTTAGTTAAGATTACCTATACAGGTGATAAAACTGTTTAAAAAAGCAAGGGAATAATACAAAATTAATAATGGCCATGGTAATGGGGACAGGGAACACTTTCCTCCTGGGGTAGAAACACACAGAAGTTTCTAAACTAATCTTCTAAAGCTTTTTAATTAAGTTTTTATTATTTTTATTGTGATATATGCCATTAGTATGTACAGACAAGTATATTTACTACACAGATACGTTTTGTCAGTACATATTAATGACATATTTCACAATAAAAATTTTTAAAGAAGAAAACGGGAGATGTACCTATTCTCCTAGGAGGAAAAACTCAAAAGAATGTCTCTTCTGAAATTATAAATTCAACACCATCAATCAATATCCCGAAAAGATTTTCTATAGGACTTAAAAAGATAGTTCTAATTTCTTCCAGAAGAAAAAATGCAAATGAAAAACCCAAAGCTCTTTTTCAAAAGAAAATACCAACATATATTATAAAACTGTAATTAAAGTACTATGGTAATAGTAACATGGGTCAAAGAAAAGAGAGCTCAGACCCAGTAAAAATATCAGCCAGTGATATGACCTGGCTAAAAATATTTAACTTTTGTATTCACCAAGGAAGATAAAAATTAAAACAGAATGTTACTTTCAATTACTAAGGTGACTAAGATAATTTTAAAACACTATTATCATCCAGTGCTGGCTAGCATGGGAGATAAAAACACATCTTGGAGAGAGTGAACATAGAAAGGTACAATCATTTCGGGGCAATTTAGCAACATTATTATCCAGCACTCTCGTAAGGACTCAATTCTGCAGAAATACTATCATGAGCACCTGAAGCACTGTTTATAAAAGCAAGAGATAATCACTGCAGTATGGTTAGTTATAGGGATACCTCGAAAATAACTTGAATGTCTACCGATAGAAGAATGAGAGTCACTTGATAAACACATGCCATTATCAATCTATTTTTACTAGATATTATACTATATTTAACAAACACGTCTCAGTCAAGTTTGTAGGTACGTTACCGATTTTAACCTATTTAAGCAACTATGTTTAGACTACAGGGATGCTTATAGCTCCCTTTCAAGAAAATTAGTTACATTTGGGCAAATGTCCTGCATACACACAAAATTTCAAATATACCGTCTTTGTATTCCTTAAAATAACTGTGGACCTTTCGTCACCCTTTTTCTGTCCTGGCTTAGTGATTTATTGATGAACAGTACCGGAGATACTGCATACAGCTAGTCATTCCAATAAGGCAGTTTTTCAACAGAAGGGTATTCTTGCACCCTTAGGAGACACTGCTTTGTTATAAACCTCCAAGGTAGGATTACCGCCAGGCTCTTCCTATATTAAATGTCACAAGCTCATTCCTCTTCCCTTTTAGTGTTCTACTCGGGAACACTGTCGACTCTCAGATCGCGAATGCTATTCCAACAATACCATATACTTGTATACCACATATTTAAGTTTTGGATACATTTTCATAAACTTTACTATTCTAACTTAACCTTACAGGGAGATTAAGGAAGAGAAAGCGTGGTTTGTTTACATTTACAGATTTCAAATAGACAAGAGGCGATTAAGAGAAACTTGAGAATTTGCAAAGCAATCTTGCTCAAAATGTCACTCATCAACCCAGTCCTCCCACGAAACGCTGCTTGGCGCCGCCTTCAGACAAACTTCTGGGTTGCTCGGACCAAGCAACCCCAACGCTCAAGCCCGGCTTGGTTTTGCTGCTAAGTGACCCCCGCTTCGGAGAGACCTGCTTTGCCCTAAAAAGAAAAGGTGGCGCATTGCCATCAAGTCTCCAAGAAGGCTGTTACCGGCTTATTTATTCACTATACTTTTATACGCTCAAAGAAACTTCTGCAGCAGGCTCCACAGAACCCGCAGGAAATGCCTTCCCAGCCGGCGCAAGCCCGAGGACGGAAACTTCAGCCAAGACCTTATCATCATATCCCCGAGGACGAAGCTGTCACGACAGGCGACGCAAACGAAACGCCTCAAAAAGGGGCCAGACGACACGGTTCGGGTCTCCCAGCCCGCGGCACCGAGCGCGGCCGCAGGTGGTAGCGCAGGACAGAAGGTCGAGTCATCTAGCAGGCGCCGACCCCTCCCACCCCTCACCCCGAGCGCGGCAAAAGGCGGGGAGAACGCGCCCGCCCCTCGCAGCCCAGCCCCGGCAGCTGCCCGAGCGCTCGGCCTCGGGGACCCGCCGTCTTCCTCGCAGGGTTCCCAGGCGTCCAACCCGGGGTGACTTACCCGTCCGTGGCGCGGCCGCCGCCCCCGAGGACCTGAGATCCCGGCTCAGCCTCCTTCCCATGCTTCTCCAGGCCGTCCTCTGCGTCCTCCCCGGCCCTCGCGACAACCGGCGCACGTGGGCAGCACCAGGCGCCGGCTCCGCGCTCCCGCGGGGAGACCCCTCAGGGGCACGCCGTCCTTCCGGCCCCGGGGTCCTCGCTGCTGGCGCTGACAGGGACGCCGCGCCCGCCCGCGCTCCGTCTCCCGTCAGGGTCACAGGCGAGAGGCAGCCCCGGGACGCCCGGCCGCCTGAGAGAACATGTCGACTTTCTCGGTGACCGGCGCTAGCAACCGGAAGCAAAACCTCACGGCCAAAGGAAAAGAAGAGGTGCGAGGGGGGGAGGGGGGCAAAAAAAAGAAAGTGAAAACTGAAGTGAGGCGTCCCCCTCAGACAGGGGAACCAATCGCTGGGGAGAAGCCCAGGCGCAGGCGCGGGCCGAGGTCGGCGTCCACGCGGCGCTCTCGTCTCCCTTCTGCGCAGGCGTAAGGCCTCAGCTCACTCCTGATTGGACGGCCAATCCCGGCGCGCTCGTCTTTTCTCGCGAAGCCGACCCTAACCGGATGCGGAAATTGCCTTTGGGAAGAGGCGGGAGAGGCCCCGTCGGCGGAGCTGGAGTGCTGTGGCAGTCGCCCACGTGGCCGCCTTCGGGCGCTTTCGCCCTTTTCTGCGTTTCCCGCCGCAGCTACTGCTACAAGAAGAGTTTCTTTGTCTTGGCCAAATGCGACATTTTCGAAATCTTGCCCTTGTTTTAATGCATATAGCAGGTGTGGCTGTTAACCCCTAGGAAAGCACCTCTATAAATATTTATAACACGTGCACAGAGAGCTAAGGTAACCATAAATAAAGTGGCCATCTGTAAGTTCAGCTTTATCCTTGCCCATGATACATACTCATGCACACATCTCTTAACTATAGGAACACCTTATGAGAGAGATGCCTCATTAGGCAATTTGGTCTTTGAGCAAACATCATAGAAACCTAGAAGCATAACCTACTACACACCTACGCTTATAAGGCATAGCCCATTGCTGCTGGCTACAAACCCGTGCTGTATGTTATTGTATTTAATGCTGTAGACAATTATAACACAATGGTAAGTATTTGTACAAGCATATCTAGACATAGAAAAGGTACAGTAAGACCAGGTGCAGTGGTTCACGCCTGTAATCCCAGCATTTTGGGACGCCAAAGCAGGCGGATTGTCTGAGGTCCGGAGTTTGAAACCAGCCTAGCCTGCATGGCGAAACCCATCTCTACCAAAAATACAAAAATTATCTGGGTGTGGTGGCAGGTGCCTGCAATACCAGCTGCTACAGAAGCTGAGGCGGGAGAATCTCTCTTTTTTTTTTTGAGACGGAGCCTTGCTTCCTACCCAGGCTGGAGTGCAATGGCGCGATCTCGGCTCACCGCAACCTCCGCCTCCTGGGTTCAGGCAATTCTCCTGCCTCAGCCTCCTGAGTAGCTGGGATTACAGGCACGCGCCACCATGCCCAGCTAATTTTTTTGTATTTTTAGTAGAGACGGGGTTTCACCATGTTGACCAGGATGGTCTCGATCTCTTGACCTCGTGATCCACCCACCTCGGCCTCCCAAAGTGCTGGGATTACAGGCTTGAGCCACCATGCCCGGCCGAGGCGGGAGAATCTCTTGAACCCCAGAGGCAGAGGTTTCAGTGAGCTAAGATTGCACCATTGCATTCAGCTTGAGCAACATAGTAAGAGTCCATCTCAAAAAGTACAGTAAAAATACAGTATAAAAGATAAATAATGGTATATCTGTATAAGGCATTCCCACGAATGGAGCTTACAGTACTGGAAGCTGCTCTGGGTGAGTCTGTGAGTGAGCGATGAGAATGTGAAGGTCTGGGACATTACTGTACACTCGTGTAGACTTTATAAACACTACACGTAAGGTACACTGAATTTATTTTTAAAAATTCTTTAATAATCTTGTAACTTTTTAACTTTTTTAAACTTAAATTTTAAGACTGTTTTGTAATAACACTCAGCTTAAAACAAACACATTGTACGGCTGTACACAGATATTTTCTTTATATCCTTAATCTGTAAGGTTTTTTTTTCTATTTTCAAAATTTTTAATTTACTTTTTAAACTTTTTTCATTAAAAACTAAGACAGAAACACACATTAGCCTAGGCCTATACTGGGTCAAGACCATCAATATCATTGTCTTCCACCTCCATTTTGTCCCATTAGAGGGTCTTCAGGGGCAGCTACATGTATGGAGCTGTCATTTTCTAAGATAACAATACCTTCTTCTGGATACTTCTTGAAGAACCTGCCTGAGGTTGATTTATAATTAACCTTTTTAAAAAAATAAATAGGAGTACACTCTACACTTGATCTTAGTCAAAAGGCGAGAAGCGATTAGGAGTACACTCTAAACGATAAAAGTATAGTGAATAAATAAGTCAGTAACATAGTCTATGATCATTATCAAGTATTATGTGCTGTACATAATTGTGTGTGCTATACTTTATTTTTTGGAGACGGAGTTTCACTCTGTCACACAGGCTGGAATGCAGTGCTGTGATCTCGGCTCACTGCAACCTCTGCCTCCCAGGTTCAAGTGATTCTCCTGCCTCAGCCTCCCGAGTAGCTGGGATTACAGGCACCTGCCACCATGCCCAGCTGATTTCTCTATTTTTCAGTAGAGACAGGGTTTTGTCATGCTGGCTAGGCTGGTCTCGAACTCCTGACCTCAGGGCATCTGCCTACCTCAGCCTCCCAAAGTACTGGGATTACAGGTGTGAGCCACCACAGCCGGCTGTGTGTGCTATATTTTTATACGACTGGCAGTACAGTAGGTTAGTTTACACCAGCATCATCACAAACACGTGAGCAATGCATTGCTGTATGAAATTAAGATGGCTACAATATCACTAGGCAATAGAACTTTTCAGCTCTATTATAATCATATAAGATCACTGTTGGATATGTGGTCTGTTGTTAACTGAAACAAGTGACACATGACTGTACCAATGAGAGAGATTAAGTGCTAATGAACATGCATCATGAGTCAGGCACTGTGCTGGTAATACCAAGTGATTTAGTCATTGTGTTTACTGTTTACTGTGACCAGGTGCCATAGTAGACTCTGATTTTACAATCATGAACAAGCTAGACAAGGACCCTGCCCATATTGGAATTTATTCCAGAGGTGAGTGACAAACACAGGTAAATCACCACAACAACAAACAATTTCAGATAGCAATACATGCTGTGAAAACTCACTGGAAATGCTAGTGGATGGGACTGGGGGCTGGAGGCCAAGGGCAGAAGCAACAGAACTACAAGATCTTACTGAAATGGGGACATTTGAGGTCAAACCCTAAAGATCCAAACCGATAGAACCAAAGCTTGGAATATGTGCAGGAAGAGCTTTCCAGACAGAAGGCAAAGCAAGTGCAAAGGACTTAAGAAGTGAAAATGAGACTATTTAAGAACTGAATAAGGCTGACTGTAGAAGTAGAGAATGTAATATAATGACTATTTTAATAGTGCACAAAACCAGAATGTACAACTCCATGATTTATCACAAGGCAAATATACATGAAACCAACACGCTGTCACAAAACAGAACATTGCCAGTACCCCACCCCGCTTCCCTAGCCTAACCACTATTCCAACTTCCATGGTAATCTCTTCTTTGCTTTTAAAAGTAAGTGTGCCACCTAAATACGCACCCTGAAGCTTTATCATTTAGTTTGCTTGTGGTTTGAACTGTATTTAAAGTGAATAATTTTGTGCCTGTTTGTGAGACTCACTATGTTTTTGGGTGTACTTGTTCTTCTGTTTTCATTGCTGTATATGAAGGTGTGAATGTAACATATTTGCTCTACTCATTGTATTATTGATGGACATTTGGGCTGTATCCAGTTCTTGGCTATTATAAATAATACTTTTGTGATCACTCTTACTGATATCTCTTGGTGTACAGGGGCACTCATTTCTGTTGGATGAAAAGCTGGGATTGGGATTTTGGAATGCTAGACATGATAATTTGGATTTTTGTGTCTGCAAATATTTATGCCCTTATTCCCCACTGTTGGCTAAGTTTACTTTTCCATTAATATTGGGCTTGGTCTAAGTGAGGTCTTTTGGCTGATAGAATACCAGCAGGCATGACACAGCAGGATTCTTAAGTGTGCCCCTGTCATTTGACTTGGCTCTTGTGCTCAGGTGATTCATATGTGGAGAACATATCTTGTGTAGCTGTTGTCTCTTCAGCCCGGGTCTCCAGAACAAACCTATGTGGAGCAGATGTGACACCAACCTACACCCCAACACACTTTGGATTAGCAGAACTTTAGACACCCTGAAGATCAATGAGTCTGAGAATTAATGCTGTTATCATAACCTAAGTGAGTTTGGGGTGATTTATTATGGGGCATTGTTGTGGCAATAACAAGGGCATATGTTCAACTTTAGCAGATAATTTCAAACTTTTCACAAGCTGGTTTTACTAAGTTATACAGTTCCACTAAGAGAATTTCTAGTTCATCTACATCCTTGCCAACCCTTTTTAATTTTAGCTACTCTGAAGGGTATGTCATGGTTTGAATTTGCATAGTCTTCAATGTTGTTCTTTTTCAAGTATGTTTTGGCTATTTTAAGTCTTTTTTTTTTTTTTTTTTTTTTTTTTTTTTTTTTTTTTTTTTTTTTTTTTTTTTTTTTTTTTTTTTTTTTTTTTTTT